CAAGAAGGCAGAGGGGCACTTGGGGCATTAACAGCCTTAGGTCCTAGAGACCAATGAAAGGAGGAGGTTGAACGTTTCCATCATTACTGCACAGTGCTCGATGGTTGCAAGCTGGGCTTAGCAGCCCACCTGAGCTTAAGGTGGGCTCTTCTTCTAAAGCAATTTCGAGCCCGATGACCATAAATGAAACAGTAAATGCATCTGATATCACTTTGGCACTCCCGTATTAAATGATTCGGGCTTAAACAGCGAAAGCATAATCTGGTTGAAGGGTTGGGAGTGAAGTTATAACGTTCACCTTGGGGGAGCTGCACTTCATTATATTGCTTCGGCTAAAGAGAATTAGCAGCCAGAATATCATTACAATTAATATCAAGATCTCTCTCGAGCCTTTTGAAAACCGTTTGAACTGGAACCACTGAGGAAGATACAGCAAGATGAGCACCATTGAGTCTATGAGAAGCAAGAACATCAGGACTGGCTTGCACAACTGAAGTTATTGGATCAACAGGAAAATTTTCAGTAGCCGAATGCTCCTCACGACCATCTTTAACAGTTTCAAAATCCCTGCATTGAACTTGGTTTGAATTGAGTCCAGCATGCTTCTCAGAATCCAAAGCAAAAGGGGAGGCTCCAATATGCATACGAGAGGGAGATGAAACCGGACAAAGAAGACTTCCAACTGTAATCACAGATGAAAAGAGCTCTTTGGGGCGAGATTTAGACACAGGAGAGTCTAAAATTAGTTTTTTGCTGAAAGAGACCCTTTTACCCGAAGTCCTGTGTTTACTTTTTTTGCTGATCTTTGTGGTCCAGCTAGCTTCTTCCTCTTTTTCCCATTTTTTCCATTCCCGCTTCCAATCAGCACCTCCATCACGCCACAAATGAAAATATATATCAAAATGATCAGTCGTGATCCTTTTGAGAGCACGAACAAGCAGCCCCACGTTCTTGGATGCAACAGAGAAGCGAAAATGCCGCTCCTTTTGAAAAGAAACATGAAAACCAGCGGGAGTTCCTCCAAGGCAGCAGTGGAGAGCCATGGCAACAGAATCCTCAGTGAGCCGAAAGAGAAATCTCCGAAAAACCACGAGCAAGAAGAACGAACCATCCGGCGAGGAAGAAGTGTGATGAACCGAGGAAGAGAACTTGCGCAACACCTCAGCTTGAAACTTCTTACCGGGAGAAAAGTCCCAGTCCCGCATGAGTTCCGCCAGCACTGGGTCCTGCTCCAGCTCAATCAAGGCACCAGGAGACAAATCCATCCCCATAGCTCGCCCATGTCTCTCTTGCGAACTGCGGTGGTGAGCAGTAGATCGGGGAAGTGTGTGGCGGCAGGCAGTAAATCTGTTAACCATCATAAAGAGCTGTGTGAAAGCTTATGAAATAATGACCATTACGTATGAGTATGCAGGTCAACCATATGAAAATAGCTTAATTAGTTCTTTCACGAAATATACTTTAACACTGCAAAGTTTAATGTATTGATGGTACATTTTTATAGACATAGTCAAAAATTTAGACTGCAGAACATGTGCAAAATCAATAACCTATCTTTAGTGAGAGGAAGTATACAGAAAGGAATCACCTTTGATTTAAATTACAAAGATTATATAACAGCCCTTGCAAGGGATCAAGCATCTATTTGTGGCACAAAACTGTAGTCAACAATATGGACAAAGTGAGAACTTTCTTCTGGCAAGGGGGAAGTACAAAGAGAAAATACCACCTGATAAAGTGGACTAGAATCTATAAAAGCAAGACAGGTGGATTAGGTATTAAAGACCTGAGAAAGTGATGGTGGAAACTCGAACAACAGGATGGAATTTGGCGGGAAATTGTTAAAGCCAAGTACATTAAGGAACAATCAATACACACTGTGAGTTATAAACATGATAATTCATCCATTTGGGCAGACTTGCTCAAGATAAAAAACATCGACCTTCAAGGATTCTGGAAATGGGAAGAAAACTAGATTCTGGAAAGATCCTTGGCTCTATGAAGAGCCTTTATCTTTATGTGTCAAATTCCATACTCTGGATATAACGGTTGCCTAATGCATGGAACTCAATTTACAGCTTTCAATTAGGAGATGGCTCTATACTGTTTTGAGACATCAAAATTTCCACTTCCGAGATGAGGATGCTTTACTATTGGAAACTGGAAAAGAACAAGAAATTCTCTGTTAAATCTCTCTACAATGCCCTGACTATCAATGATGCAGGGCCATTATTCAAACACATTTGGAAAGGAAAATCCGTCCCAAAATTAGAATCTTTATGTGGTTGATGGAAAATAACAATGTTCTCACCAAAGATAATATGCTTAGAAGGAATTAGATTGGAAATCCTAGCTGCTACTTCTGTGAAAGGATGAAAATATCTCCCACCTCGCCGTGTAGCCAAAGTGGTTTGGTCGAGCATTGGTGCTAATGACACGCCAAATGCCTGGCTCAATGCTGGAAGTGGACTAAGAAATGGCTTCTGGATGGCTCCCTTCCATGGTTAGTTTTATTTCTTTTGTACCTGTTTTGACATGGCCCTGTTTCGAAACACTTATTTTTCAGGAACTTTTTTGGTAAGTCAGCTTTTCACCACTTCTCACAAAAGATGATTTCTAAAAAAAAGCTAGGCAATGGTATTTGGCATACCAAGCTTTTCAACTCTTGCTAGGCCATCTCCTCGGCTCGGCAGCTATTTTCAGGTGCTCGGGTCTCGGGTGTGGTAGATCAGGCGGGTGGGCGAGCTTGATGGCAGGTGTGCGAGATCCAGCAGGAGGCGCTCTAGTGGGCCGCGGCGCTCTAGCGAGCGGCGACACTTTGGTGGAGAAGCGTGCCACGAGCTCGACGGCTTTGGGCGGAGAGAGGCACGGGTGAGAAAAATAAGCCGCGAGAAGCAGCTCCCTCTCTCCTAGGAAAAGTTTGTCCATAGTTCATTTCCCAGAAGCCCATCTAGAAAAAGCCCATGAGAAGCTAGGCGTTTGGGAGCACTAGTGACTTAAAAAGTAGCAGAAGCTGCAAATAAGCAGTTCCAAACAGGGCCATTATAACATGAGTTTTAATTTCTTTCATGGCTATTGGGGTGTATAAACAGTGAATATTTCCTGACCGACCAACCGAATGAAGGGCTTCACTATCCATATGAAATGTACCGTATCCAAATCCATAGATTTAGTACCTGTACCATATTAGTATCCGCATACTAAAATTTGGATATATATGATGTCGAAATCCATTCATATCTTTTCCGAAATATCAGTAACCAAATCTGAATCCGATACGGTAGCTATCCGAATTCGTATCCGTAGGTATTGATCTGTTTACACCCCTAGTGGCTATAATCTATTAAAACCTGGCTTTGCGTCTGTTTGTATGTGATTCACTTCTCTTATCAACCTTGTGACTCTGAATTGTGGGAAGCTGTAGTTTCAGCATCATGGTCTTTGATGTTTGTTACTGAACTCTCAATCTGTAGTGACACAATTGTGTTGCAGTTGCTTATGTTAACCAAAACGTGGTTTGTTGCAAGAATTAATTTATGCATAAATAGAAAAGCTGAAGCTCTGTTACTGAGAATGTTCTACAGAAAGAGAATGACAACATTGAGGGCTTTGCACAGAGGCTTGATTTTTTCTCTGTTGTTCTTAGCAATCTGCTATAGCAATTCCTCATTTGACACCCTATATGGAAAGGTTGTATATAGAAGTTTTGAAATAGATATTCTTTGTTCGTTTAGATCTAAACACCTCTCATAAGATTAGTCCACTTTGGTCAGTTCAATGTTTTTGTAATTAATATTGGAGGTTAACCACATGAAGTATCCTTAGGTACCTTATAAAGTCATAATTTATTCACAATGACGTACATGGCTACATCACAAATTTTTAACTGTGAAAATACTCCCTCCATCTCAGGATAGAAGGTGCAACTGTTTCTTTCTCCTAGGATACAAGGCGCTGCTCTTTAATCCTCTAGTTCACACACAAGCAGCCTGCACCTGCAAAGTTTCTCACCTTCCTATTCACGCGCATGCAAGTTACTGTCTCTCTCTCTGTTGAGGACTGGTTAGCATGCACTTAGCATTTAGTTGAGCGCTGGTCTCCATAGGCATGCTACGAGAACCAAAGTATCAATCGTGGGAGAGATCAGAAATTAAAACTTTTCTTGGTCTGTGGACAGAAGGGGTTGCGCCTTCTATCCTGAGATGGAGGGAGTAGAAATATAGTTTCATAAACCAACTACATGGGCTACTTATGAAGCTATTGTGTATCTGTGAAAAATGTCTTTCTGGTTCATAGAATAAACTAAGGACCTCATGAATATGTATACCTTTTTAGAATTTAATGATAGAATCGAATTATGCACTGTTAACTTGTGTAAACAATGAGCAACTTCCCCCCTGGATATATGGAGTGTATCGGCATATGTCCCTGCCTTCTCACAGCTTACCCAGCGTTTTTGTCAGCATATTTGGAGTTGAATAATTGAGTTTCTTCATTGTTAGCAGCTAACACTAGCTTTCATCATTTCTGGGAAAGATGTTCACTGCACTGTAATTCTTGCCCACAGTGGAATAATAGTTTATGAAATTGGTCATTTTGTTCATTGGGTTTGTTTCCTAAGAAACTGTGCCATAAATGTTTCAGATACATACACATGCTGGTAACTTCTCTATTATCATATCATCTAACTTCTCTATTATGGAAAATAGAAAGTATGCCAAATGCTACTGTAAGTTCTAATTTGCAGATTACTTACGCCAATACTATGTACTAACCTAAGACTCTACATGCACACCGTCCAGTTCTTGCAGCCTTGTGAACAATTAATTAGTAACAATTAGTAGTTATCTCCAAGGACCTCTACTGTCCGTAATACCTAATGCTCACACTGGTTTATTATCAGTATCTGCACAACATCACTCTCTACCTTTGGCCATTCAAATTTGCTACTAAATTGAACCACAGAAGTCCTACGCATGCACAGAGTTGCAACTGCATACCTCAGCTACTTCAATCTCCTTGTCCCAAATGATCTTCTCTAGGATGTTAAGAGGGGCTCCCAGCTCCTCCTCTATCTCCTTCAAGGATGCAGTGGGGCGGCAGTGCCTGCGGATGCGAATCCCCTGGCTAGCCGCTATGCCGTTCACTGTCATGCCATTCTCCCATTGGACCACCTCTGTTGCGTTCAGCATATCATACTTTGCCAGCGCCTCAAGAATTGAGTCCTAAATAAGCCCCAAAAAAAAGGTCTCAACAAGTGAGGCGCACCATCAAGCACATAAACTCAGTATTTATATTTATACACAAGATTTTACTGACAAAATAACAAATCGTTATTCCATACTGGGGAGGCGACATGGGTGGAAAGATGGTGCATTGTATTGGTGATTACTACAAGTATTTCAGGACGAAACGCAACTACAGTGCTGGAAACCCTGCTCCGCGAATGGGGAAAAGAATACAAAATGGTACCAAGAAAACAGGAAACCTCCACAGCATATCCGCGCAACATCAGAGTGGAGAGACCAAACAAACCCTTGGAAGAGAACACAGCAAGGCGTACCTTGGGGCCGGCACGGAGCGGGCGAGCGCCGCCGCCGGCGGCGGCGAGGGTGGTGAAGCGCGAGGGCCTGGGGGAAGCGCCCCTGGTGCCAGCGACGGCGGAGAAGGAAGACCTAATGGATCGCGATGCGAGGAGAGACTCCATCAAACGTGGAAAACGATGGGGGTACGCGGGAGCCGACGGTGGGTCTCCTGGTCTCAGGGGAATTCTATAGTGGGTGGCGGCAGCCGGAACGGCAACAACGGTCCGAGTCGGGTGCTGACGGGAAAGACGACCTATCCGGCACGACGCACGAGGAACACGCGCCTCCTCTGTTTGCCATTTCATTCGCAAAAATAGGTTCTCGGCCATTTGGTTTCCATGGCATGCGGTGTATTTCTTCTCTTTTCTAATCTATGTATATATATTTCCTATCTAAAATCAGTTTTAGTGGAGAGTTTCGTAACGTTGTTTACAAAACTGTCCCATCACGTAGAATGAAATAAAACATGGATCACCCACTTTTAATGTAGAGTTTTATTATATAGTTTCATATATATTTAATTTTATAACTCAGAGAGAGTTGGTATTCGTGCAAAAAGAGTTTCATCTCAATGAAACTCACTTCTTCTCTCTTCTTAAAACCCCTGCTATATCATCAAAAACGCTTATGTGGCAGCTCATTAAACACAAATGAAACTGGCCTAAAAGACATCTCTACCCTTATGGGATTTTTCACTCGTGCATGGATGATGCGATTAGATAGAGACCGACGTTTCGTTTCTTCCCTTTACTTGTTCGTCTACCGCCGCCGCCGCCTCCCTCAACGTCACATCCATGGTCAGCCAGCCGCCCAACCTAAGTCTGGCCGTGCCGACTGCCCAAGGTCTGGCCGCGCCAGCCGCCTGACCCCCGACGCCGACCGCCCAACCACTGACGGCGCCCACCCAAGGCCTGGGCGCGGCCACCTAAGACCAGGCTACGCCGGCTGAAGGCTTGGCCGTGCCGGTGCCCATTCCACAACGTCGGCCGCCCAAGGCCTGGCCAGCACAGGCGGCGGCGACCAGCCATCCTGCCTGCCTGCCCAGGCATACGGGTTTCAGTGCATGCTCCAGGCGTACAGGCTCAAATATCCAATACGTGCTCTAGGCGTACCAGCCTGCCTGCCTACCTGCCCAGGCATACGGGGCCTATTCGGCAGGACTGAAAAATACTGTTCCGGCTAATTGTTGTGAAAGGAAAATACTGTTCTGGCAGGACGTGAACAATGATTTCGTGAGGTGGCTGGCCAGCCAGCCAGCTGGCAACCAGCCAGCCGAACACTGCCACAGGCTCCAAGTGCGTGCTCCAGGCGTACAGGCTCAAATATTCAATACGTGATTTAGTCGTATACGCGCTCCGGGCATACAGGCTCAGTGTGTGTAGGGGCAAAAAGTCACAAGGGCAAAGTCATCCGTACATGTCACAAATACATGGAGGAATAGTAGAAAAAAGAGAAAATACATATAATGGTAAGAAAATCACATGTCTAATGTTTGTAGACCTATTTTTACAAAGCCAACATTTAGAATAACAAAACTACGAAGCACAACGAGAGTCCCAAATATCCAATTTTCTCCCTCCTGTCCCTGCACAGTATTTTTTTATAGATACTCGCTCCGTGGTAGATGTAGCAAGGTATAAATTTGTTAGGGCATTTTTAATATAATATTAATATTTACTGATGAAGACTAAGCAATATCTTCAACAGTGAATACCCTTTTAATTATAATATAATAATTAGCTCTTAGACATGGTATCAACTATGATACCCGCGCGTTACTGCGGAATATTGTGGCGCTTAAAGTATAGGAGAGTTCATGGAGAGATAAATAGTAAAACAATGAAAGAAAGCATACATATTTGAATCGTCAATGAAATGTTAAAAAAAGTTAGAAAAACATAGCATACCGTACTGGATAAGTGTATTTGTAACTTGTTGTCCTGCCGATAAATTGTCATTTGTTTTATCGTATTATATTTGATTAATACCAAAATGTTTAGATCATTTAGAACTTAGTGATAGCTTGCGCTAACAAATTTGAGATGCCACCCTTAATAATTGTTTGCTAGTTGGGAAGTAAATATATTCGATGCAAACACTGTGGCAACAATTCTAAAAATTCAGTCAAGCTTTCACCCTCGGAGTACATGTGAAGAAGACTGCAGCATCTTATACATCTCAATCTAGTTCATAATTAGGAAAAATGTTATTTTATTTGACATGCATAAAAAAAAAAAAAAAATAGATATGTAAAATTACAGTTAGGGAATAGCCTATGAACTTTGCAAGGGAAAACTGAATGGAACACGTACGTACAGAAACTAGGCCATAAGAGGAAGCTGACAATGCGTTCATGGCTGTGGTGTGTCAAGCCATGGATGCTGTGAGCCATAAATATTCATGCAAGGTAGCAAGCAGTGCATCCACGATAGACAGGCAAAACAGAGGGTGAAGCATTGACCCTTCGTGGACGGTGTCGTAGAGGGCGCCATGAAGAGGAATAGCAGAATCACCAGCGAGGAAGGTGACAATGCATCCATGGCTGTGGTGTGCCAAGACATGGATGCAGTGAGGCATAAATATTCATGCAAGGTAGCAAGCAGTGCATCCATGATAGACAGGCAAAACAGAGGGTGAAGCATTGACCCTTCCTGGACGGCGTCGTAGAGGGCACCATGAAGAGGAATAGCAGAATCACCAGCGAAGCCTCATCCGTGAAGCATTGGCCCTTCCTGGACTAATGTTGGGCGTTAGAGGAGATCAAGGTAAATAGGATGGCGTTGAGAAGTCTATATATATATATATATATATATATATATATATATATATATATATATATATATATATATATATATATATATATCATTTATTACAGAAATGGAGAAGGCTAAGCAATGATGGTGGAGTATTTAAGTTGGCGTTAAGGAAAGTTGAAGTGGGCATAGGAAAAAATAAGTTCGGTTGGTGACGTTACAAGGCCATATTCCGTATAGCTTTTGGGGACTCAGGCTCCTCCTATAACTCATTAGCAGTATATTGTTTACAATTGTAGCAAGAAGCCATTTTGATTTTCGAGGTAAAAAATAAACTGTGAAAGAGGAGAAACCGGCGGAGCCACAATTTATAGCTGTACCGACTCCAAATTCACCGTGCTATAGTGCTAATGTGAAGTGTCGGTGCAGAAAGTGACCAACACGTAAATATTTATAGTTTTGCCGTACGTTGTGATCGGAGGTGGCCTAGCACTCAATGACACAAGGTTTATACTGGTTCAGGCAACGTGCCCTATGTCCAGCTTGAGTCGGTCGGTGACTTTATTCCTGAGCCCAGGTGCTCGAAGTCTGCAGTGGGGTTACAAACGAGAGAGAGAAATATGGGGTGTACGAGAGGTCCGGTCGGACTCCGGTCGGAAGGACCGAGAGCGACAGGAGCTCCGCTACGAGCTAAGTGTTCAAGCGTGTGCTTGAGGTTCGAACCTGGCGATTCTATGGTTGTGGACTAGTGAACTTGGTCGATCTAATGAATCTAAAGGGACTTGACTGAACTTGAATCAACTCGGGTTAACCGGGTCTTTTGGGAGAGAGCGCATCCCCATTTATAGATGAAGGGATGGCCTTACAAGTGAGAGGGAGAGAGTACGAATGCTTCTAGCCTTGTTGCCCACGCCGACGGGTACAGGATGATGGTAGGCGCCCACAACACTGTTGGATGTCAGATGCACATGGGAGGTTCCGTCATCTTTGTTTGGGTATGGCAGATATCGGTACCTATATATACTGTTGATGTTCAGAGGCATGTGAGGAGTTTCACCATGTGCACTCGGTACGGTAAATCTCGGCGCCCACAACACTGTCGATGCTTAGAGGCATGCGGGGAGCCTTACCGTATGGGAGTTTAATGGCGTCCATAATATTGTAGGGCAATTGTAGGCGCCCACAACACTGTTTGTGTTAGGACGGTTGCAGAGTTCTGTTCCGTGCAGGGTATGGTCCCTGGTACCGTGGTTTGACTTGTGCGCCTTGTCCTGCTTTCTCTGCACGTCTCCTGGTCCCTACCGAGCGGGCGTCTCCGGTCGGTTGATACCAGTCGGCTCTGATCGTGCCAGTCGGAGAAGAGCGGTGAGCAGGGGATGGGCGTATCCCTGGTCGGAGAGTGTGGGGTCGGAGTCGGAAGCGGTGCTTTTGGCCAGGTCTTCCGGTCGAAGAGGCTGTCCGGAGGTGGGCTGGTGACCGAAGCGAGCGCTCCGGTCGAAGAGGTGGGCCGGAGTCAAAAAACGGGCGCTGTTCCTCCTCGGCCTGACCTTCCGTTCGGAGATTGGATCACCCCCCGCCTGTTGCTCCGATACTTGGGCCGACCCATGGGTTGTGCGTTTATTAGTTTGGGTCGAGCCTTTGTTTGGGAAGCCGGTCCCCGAGGGACCCCGGGTTTATGAACCCAACAGGAGCCCCTGAGCCCCTGGGCGATTCGGGCAGTATCGTCTGGGGGATTTTTGCCTTGACGGCGGGTGTGCGCAAGCGCACCCACGGGTGTAGGCCCTGAGCCCCCGGGCAGTTCGGGCATAACCGTTTGGGGGGTTTTTTTGTGTCGCCAGCGGGGGAGGTTTTTTGCTTTGTCGGTGGGTGCGCGCGAGCGCACCCGTGGGTGTAGCCCCTGAGCCCCCGGGTGGTTCGGGCGGAACCATCTGGGTGGTGTTTGTTTAGCGGGCGTGTGTGCGTGTTTTTAGTTGAGATGGAGTTTGTCAACCAAGGCGTCATTGTGCAGCCGAGGCGGTTTAGGCGTGGGCTCAGGCAAGGCGACAAGGCGGTGCTGTGGATCCTAGCCTGGCCTCGGTGCAGCCCGCGCAGCCGAGGCAGTTAGTTTGTTAGTTTAGGGATCAGGCGAGGCGACAAGGCGGTGCTCGTGGATCCTGATGGGGCGAGTTCGGGGTCACAGACCCAAGTGTTTCGAAGCGTAGTCGGAGCGTAGCCGGATGGGGCAAGATTGGGGTCGTAGACCCAGGTGTTTGGAGCGCAGTCGGAAGGGGCGAGTTCGGGGTCACAGACCCAGGTGTTTGGAGCGCAGTCAGAGCGTAGCCGGATGGGGCGAGATTAGGGTTGCAGACCCAGGTGTTTGGAGTACAGTCGGAAGGGGCGAGTTCAGGGTCGCAGACCCAGGCTTTTTGTGTCTTGAGCCCCCGAGCCCCATTGGGCCTTAGTAGGGGTCGGTGTGAGTTGTGTGCGTTACCCCATCCTCAGTTCCTCATAACCGGAGGGGCTAAGTTTTGTCGCTTGTCCCAATCGCTCGGGCTCGAGTGACGCGCTCGGTGAGTTCGCTAACGGGTATGATCGAG